CGGAATACAACCAGTGAAAAGTAAAGCAAGACAGAGTGCACGCTGGATTGATGATGGTGAAGGAAGATGTAGAGGAGGGGACTGCCTCTTCGACATGCCATTGGTAGGCAACAGGCAGTAGTGGAGGGACTTAATTCAGACCCATTGTAGCTAAGGGGCAGACAGATGGGACCTGAAGAAAAATATAAAACTAACTTAAAACACATTTGTATTTACATTTAAACAAATATTTTCCACAAATCTTATCCTAAACGTGCTAACAGTATCAAGTCACGAGGAAAAGTATGTACATTATTCGGATCTCTAACAGTGCAACCCTTAAAGTGTTGAGTATGGCCGCGCAGAAGCAAATATTACAGAGCTACCTCTGAGATTGCTTTAAGTGACCTCTTTCTGACAAAGTTGGGGGCAGCACTTTCCCACCCAATTTGTCATTGCCAGCAATATTCTTCACGTGACAATAAAACCAAATAATCAGACTTGGAATTGAACAAAATTGATTGCACAGCAAAATGTGATGCGATTATTGTTTTTGTGCAGTCATTGGTGACTGGGCTGAGCCAATTAACTCATTACATTTAAGAACCCGATTTTAATGAACAGGCAGACTCTCACTGTTGCCAGCTCAGCGCTTTGACCTCTGAGCCACCTAGCCACCTTATCTGCAATCACATTCTAACTGCTGATCTAAGATACCATTAATAAAGCCAGCTGGGCAAGCCAATCCATTCAGGCAGCCTACGTGGATTTATAAAGCATATAAATGTACCTGCATCCCAAGACATTGAGATTTCAACGTACAAATATGTTGTTGCACAGAAACAACCAAAAGCACATGCACAAATGGATACAAATGTCAGGTTACCAGCTTAGACCCACACGATCACATCCCAACACTGTAATGCACGGACACTACCAATTATTTTCAGGAGCTTATTATTCTTTAAATTCAAATGCCCGTTTGCAGGTCTTTCATTGCTACTCTTGCCAAACATCTGCCCAAATCTGGGCATTTAGCATTGGCAAGCTGTGTTTTGGAAGGTGTAATAAAGCCAGACTGTCATGTCTAAAAACGACAACAGAAACACTTGGGACAGAGTTAAATATGTACATTCACCATTTGCCATCTTGCATTGGCAGGATGAAACAAGATAAACACATTTAAAAAACACATGCACACTCTGAAACAGGAAAACACTGCTCCACGTATCGTACAAAAGCCAGTTTACTGGCACAAGCTCCTTCGTCAATGACATAATGGAGGATTTTCAAACATGAATGTTTTAAAAAAGATGCAATTTATCAAGAGCTTTACCTGTGCCAACTTGTTTTTTAGATGCAATATATTTTAATTACACACATCATGGTTTGCCACCAGACAAAGGTTCATTTTACATGGAATCAATAAACTACAATGAAGGCGATAAAACGTCTTCATTGGTATGCAGTCGTTTTCATTAACGATGGAGATCCAAGAGGAGTAGCTAAACTCTGAATATTAATGTTGGAACAAATAATGAAATTAACCAATGAATGGTCTAAATAAATTGCAATGTATAATCGTATTTTAATACACAGGAATATTGGTGAAGCAAAAGTTGTAAATATTTGTAGCAATCCATAGCTTTTTGCCATTTTTTTCTTTTCTTTCTTGCAGTGGCTTATATTTTCTTACTTTTAAATGTCGTCAGGATTTAACTGGTCATAAATTTTATTTCGGACGTTAATTAAAAGCATTGGACCTTGTAGGACGAGTGAAATGTTGCAGCTTGTAATGTTTCATTACAATTATGCATTGCTTTTTAAAATCCACTAAAAAATGCTTGTGATTGATGTATTCCAACGCTTTATTTAACGCAGCAACATTTGGATATAAACTAACTCATCTTATCTGCACTCACATGTCTTATGCCGTCTCAGAATGCATTGGGAAAAAGAGGCTTTTCCAAAGGTTTGCATCATGATTTCACACATTTTCTTACGTTATTACTGTAACCTATAAGTCAGCAACCTGCATATAGTGCAGATTTGTTTTTAAATGCTTCACATTTTATAAGTAGGGCTGGGCAATGAATCGGCACTCTGATAGTGTCAGCTTGAAGCTATAAATAGTTGCCGTGACATCTGTCCTGTTGGCAATGGCATGCAATGTCACCAATAAATACATTGCCCTGCCTTCCTGGAAGACCAGTGCTGGAAACAAAATATAGCGGTATAGTGATCGTGATTGTTAATGTGTTGTTTTTAAACAAAACTTACAAATATACTGCTAATTGTTTCCACTCCTGGTTCTTGTGGCCATCCATCTTTAAGCTATTTAAGCTTATCTCATGTGTTGGGCAGTGAGACTGCAATAGCACTATAATAATTAGAAAAATGTCACAATATCACAATTCCTCCGCGATGTGATATGCTGACAAAAATGTCTTACCACCCAGCCCTAATCATAAATGCATACAACCGAAATACGGTACTGGCTTCAGAAGCAATCCATGGTCTTCCTGGTGTTCCAGACAAAATTAATTTGGAAGACTTGAATGAAGAACCGATTTAGGTTAGTATGAAGGATGTGCAAGAGATTGTGCATAGAACCAAGACATTGAAACATGCGGAGTTACCTACTGACGGTATTGAAGTGAGATTACCCAGAATGCACACGACTGAAGAGAACCATCAACCATTGTTAATTTTATTTTTATGCAACTGTGAAAAATGTTTTGTAAATTAACTTACATGGGTGGATATTTATTTAATCAAGCGGACGCCGATGAGAAAAAGCTTTTCACTAAGTGGTTATTCAGTAATGACACATTAATTTACACACCTGGTTTATCAATGTTTTACGAATCCATAATTGTATTTTTGTTGTTTAATTACTCATTAATATTTGAGTAGCGGCGTCGAAATAGTATTGAATGTGTCATTTTAAATTAAGCTTTACTTGCGCACCCAATATTATTTGACGGTAAAGCCTTAAGTGTACTCCAGACATCCACCTTTGGTCTTACCATTTCATGAAATTTGTTTTGGTGCATCCACACATGCCATTTCATACAATTGAATTCAAATCACTGCTTCATGAAGGATTTAAAGCACAACCATTCCCATGATGCATGGTATAATTTTTTTGCCAAATTGCACAAAACTGCTGTTTTTTAAAACATGTGCCGATACACTAAAAGACAGAGATAGTTCAATACATAGTCACAGTTGCATAAAATGTTTGAAAGAAAAATGAAAGATATTAATCCTGTTTTTAATTGAGAGAAGGTAAAAAATGATTTATTGATAGGAAGATAATCATCCATGCTGGTTTGAAATCCAAGTGCGATAAGCACGGTACAATACCTTCCAAAAGTCCTGGGGACACACGTGGAGTTGAGTATGAGGGAACAAAATACAGTTATCCAGTTACCTGTTGGCTTAAGATCCACAAATTTCTCCAAGTATTATCTTACAGCACTTAATTTGAAAGTTACATATATTTGTAAGCCAATGAGGCATTGAGAAATTATCAGTATTTACAAAGACTGCTGACAAAACTAACAGTTATTCTAATATACAGAATTCATTTGGTTCATTATTATAGATTTGTGTATACATTTGAAATTGACGAGGAACTTTGAGAATTATTAATTTAAAAAAAAGTTTCTATTATTTTAAAATGAATAAGAGATAAAAATATTAAAATAATATAAAAACCCACCAAAACTTTAACTGTTGTAACTATCAAATTTGTCTTACAACCTAGTTTTTGTCAAGAATAAATTTACATTTTTGTTTTTGGGCCATGCCAAGAGCACACCAGGACCTACTCTCCAAAAACGATGTCGGCCACTTTAAAATCTGTCAAAAAAGGTCTGCATTGGTATGAACATTACCAGACAATAGTAGGATTCAATCCAATTGGCTCAGTGGCAAGATGCATGAAATATAGATTATCTAAGCTGCCTAAATTGAATACTGAGATATACTATAAATGAAAATACAATTTAATACATTTACACGATGCCAATGTAAAAAATTCTCAACACCACATTATTCACAAAGTAAAACAATCCTTTAGGGGGAAAAAAATGGATGGTAAATTCCTGGTGAATTTGAGAAAACTTCACTTAGTTGCCGTGCCGAGTTAAATAAATTAAGATTTACATGAATGCAGGCATAGGACTTTAATTATAGAAATTGTTTGCGTGGTGTGACAATACAAAATGTAAATTCTAGATTTGAAGTTTTCGTAAATGCAAGGGTCCCATACTCTTTGGTTTTTTCGGTAAAGTCACGTGGGTAAAAAATAAAATAAATAAAATCACGACGTTTTGGAGGCAACACAAGCTTCCCCTTGATACAGTAATTTTGCTGTGACGGTGCCACCTGAAGACGGAAGCTTGTGTTGCCTCCGAAACGTCGTGATTTAATTTATTTTTATTTTCTACCTACGTGACTTTACCGAAAAAACCAAAGAGTACAAAATATAAAATTTTGATACGAGCAGATCTATTGCAACCATGATGCTCTTTAATATTCGATCAGCAACCTTCCATTGTCTTGCAATATTGACAATTGCTTTTAAAATCTAAAGATTAATTATTAAAACACTTTGAAAATAAACAAAACACTAATTTAACATTTACTTAAACAGATTACATGATACCTACAAATAAGATCTAGTAAATGGTTGAATATTTAAGTGTAGTTCTAGTTCATTGATGCTAAGCTTCTTTTTATAACCCATTAAATTAACGGAGATGGTTTACGAAAGCAATATCCGAGTGCTGGAGACCAGTCATTTTTGTTGCGATGAGGCCTTCAGCAAAATGTTTACAGCCATGCTGATGTGCACATTTTTTAAGTGCACGGCTTCAAATGCAGATTAAGCTTATAGCCATTAAAGCGCCTGCAGTAGCAACGTCAGAGAATTAGCGTAGCAATTAAAATTCAAGAATTAAATCTTCATGCTTTTTTTATACAGAGCAACGGCGTTCCAATGTCAGTCTTACCTTGCCATCATAGCGCTTAACTATGAACTGATCCAAACCGAGATCTGAAATGAAAAACAGATGCAAATTCCATTTTGTTTCTTGAGATTAAATTAACTGAACCAATATCTTTATTATATGGCAAAACATTAAAACAAATGTCTCAGACTAACATAGTTTTTATATAAGATTAATTACTTGCTCAACTGCAGATGTCACTCAAAATGGCTTAAATGATTAAAAAATCATCCAAAAGCCACTAGTGTTCTGAAACATTTTATCATATAAAATTCACCATTTATATAAAGCAAAAAACATCAGGATGGAGTACATCAATATTTCCAATATAGCCCAGCATTATTACTATGATGCATATACTCATAATATATATGACCTTAATCTATAAAACAAAATTGCATAATCTCATCATTAGCAATGATGCCCCCCCCCCCTAAGCGATTGCCATCTCTCATAGGCTTGAGGTGCAATAATGCATCGAGCCCATCCACAACTTGATTTCATCGCTCCATATCCCCGGTGACTGCTCTCTCAAGCATGTTCCCTCTTTCGACTGCTGCTCAGTCATTCGTGGCAACCATCGGCCATCATCCCGATGAGTGCAATGTCCTGTCAAAGCCAACTTTACTTTTCCGAATAGTCAATACGATGCCTGCGTGGGTCCTCTGATCCATGTTGATTTTTTTATGTTTGCGTAATGCCAACCGTGCACCTCTCTTTGCTTCTTTGCACAGTTTTCAGCTTTTGCTCCATTTTCTTTGTCAATGTTCGCGTTTCTGATCCATGATAATTGGTTCTTTTACCCTGGCAAAAAAACTGACACCTTTTTTACGAGGAGTCATGTTGGCATAGACCACAATACCTGCAGTCATAATGCAAACAAAAAACATAACTCTGATAATGTATGCACTGTCCTTGAAGTTGATTGGTCCACACCCAAGACAGCTTTCCTTAGAGCCTAGTCTCACATGGGTTGGACCAGATGACGCCAAAAGGCGCACAACTCAAAGACAATGCACCATCAGAGTATGAGAGCTCGGGGTAAGCATTTACACCATTGGTACCTCATTTGCCAGTAAAAAATTTGATAATTGTTTTTTTACCCTTTTATCTGGCAACAAAACTGACACCTTTTTTACGAGGAGTCATGTTTGCATAGACCACAATACCTGCAGTCATAATGCAAACAAAAAACATAACTCTGATCCATGTTACAGCAAAATGCATATACAAATTCCTATATAATTCGTTTGATTAAAGTTTCTACTCATGTTGATTCCTGCAGCCAATGCTTGAAAGTCACATTTTCTTTGTAATATGAAGTTGTATCGTCATATGGTAATGCATGTATTGTTTTGCTTCTTAAGGATGCCTCAAGATTGGATTGGACCGCTTCAGGTCGGAATCTTTAGCATCATATGTCTGCAATGTAACAAACTTTAGTGGTCAATCATTTTTAATTGAAATAGTTAATTTAAAACTAACAATTGAAAAAAAAAACATTGCCGATCAAATTACTTTTAGTTGAAGTAAAACATTCATCATTTTGGATGAAAGCATAACTGATTCACTCCTCATTAATACAATATCAGCCAGTTTCCCTATCGAGCATATGTCCTGTGCTGACAGCAACAAGCAATTAGTATATAATTACATGATGCTCCCTTATTAATGATATCGTTGATTGACCGCTGTTTCACAGAATGCTCAGGATCAGTGGTGCAAAATGCAGCCAAAGGTGCATTGTAAAGTTAGAATGTGCAGCTGGCTTTCACCAATAGCCATAAAAACAAAAAGCAATTAGCTTGAAAGGATTCCCTCATTCTGCATATTAAAAACAAGTACATTTTTTAAAATAAGAGGTGTAAAGGTGCAGCCCTGCAACAGCTTTCTCACGCCACTGCAAGCAGTAGCGCCTCCACGAGATCAGATTTGGAATCAGAATTTGTGTCCTTGAGAAATCTGATGAGCTACAAAGCTCTTTTCACAGTTGTCCAGTACGGTTGGGTCTACTTTTCCCACTCACCAAATGTCTTTTAAAAGGAGGTGGGAGTACTTAGCACTTCATACCACCATGCACACAACCTGTCGATCAACTAATTGTGGCACACCAAATCATACTGCTGGGTAAACAGAGGTGGTGGGGTAAGTTAAAAACTTGCACCATTATTTCAATTGCCAAACAGACCGGTACCCTCTGGATTGCAAAGTCCAGTAACGCTTACAATTACATGGCTAAATCATACTTATTAAATGTGTTTAAGTATTATATAATTACTATTAGCTTGCCTGTTTTTTTAATACTTTATAACTACAATATTACCATTATAAAAAAATCCAATTTAAAAATGTTAAGCTGCGCCTACAATTTAAAAATTAATTTGTTCATGTCACGTATTTTTATTTATTGATGGAATTGTATGCTCATGCACGAACTTTTCAAGAGGAAACACAAAAAACATTAAAGGTGTATGCTATTTTCTAAGTGCCAAGACATGTCCAAAATAATGGTTGCATTTATATTTTATAAATCAATTATTATGAGCAGGTTGAGTATTTTAAATTCGTTCGAGATTATATATTTGTTTAAATAGCAAGCATTTAAGATAATTCAATGTTGTAATCCATACAAAAATTGCACCAAGGTTAGGTCCTTGCAAAGTACAATTCTAAGCTAATTCAGTCAAAATCAGTCATGGGGGAAAAGCACTCTGGCATAACCATTCCCTGGGCTCAGATGCCTGCTGTTTTGTGTTAAATTCAGAAGCCTGAGAGCTTTCTGTATTTTAGGCTTAGAATTTCAACTACACATTTTTTTCCTTCAGGTGATGCAAATGAATTAATCAATGCACTAAGCTATTTAATTTCATAAAAACATTGATCCAACTTTAAATGCTAAAGCAACTCAATGCATTTTTTCAATTAAAAAAAGTATTGTTTATTTATAGTATATTTAGTTACCTTTATATTTATTCCATTTACATGCTCCTGTTTTCAACATTACAAAACGTTAAAATATCATTTCGTTGTATAGTCTAAATGCAACTGCATCTCAAGATGCCACAAACAGTGCAATTTTATGTATCACAGGGACAAAATGGAAGCGAGGGATTTACATTACGATACTTAAATTAAAAACGGTGATTCAAGCCACATTACAGATAGGAAAGGATCATAGGCAGATGAGACTATCTTAAAACTGGGAAATGCAGAGACCGCTCACAATTACGAGCTTATTTCAGGCAGCAATTTCAGTACACTCCACCGCTCACCGCTCAAACAAGATTATTGGCGTGACCTTAAAACAAACTGGAAAGTTCTAATGACATTGTGCTGGTGGCAGCTCACTTTCAGGCTGCTTCTCGTTGGGTGTAATCGAGCGCACAAAGTCCTGAGGTGTCATGAACACGTCTGACTCGCCGCTCTCATTGTAAATTTTAAGCGTTGCAAAGTAGCGGAAAATTTTATCTGGCGTCGAGAAGGCCCGAATGCGGTTTTCGTACTCGATCACCTGGAAGAAAAAGGCAAACAACTGACAGTCAATTACTTTTCACACATAAAATTCACACCAGCAGGTTTTGCTTGTATGGTATACGGTATACAGAGTTGATAAATAGGCATAGGGCAACATCACAGAACAGTGTGAATGACTTGCAAAATAATGTAAACCATGCACTTTGTTTAAATATAATTGAAGTAAAACATTTCATAAGCCATCGAATCGCAATACTGCGTGTGTTGTCGATGCATTATGGCTTAATGTCTGTATATTACTATAAACTAAATTGCCAACTTCAATTCGCTGTACGAACATGTTTTAATTAGCTAATACGATAGGCGACAGCTAATTTAGTTTTTAAAAAATAAGTGCCTTACTGTGCTGCCTGACGTGGAATGCAACTTTTCGGATATGGCTACATGCACAAAGGGGTAGTAACAATGTTATGGAAACAGGATAAAATTGCCTTAAGTAATGTCTAGGCATGTTTTGCAATGTGCCAATTCAGAAATGCAACATTGCACACCCTAATGTGTCATATCATTCAGGAAATGTGGTTAACGCGCATACTTTGGTCGCATGGCAACTGAAATGTGATGTTGTAATACCAATCAATAAATCAATATTAAGCAACTGCAGTTGCCTACTATTCCAGAGGCATAAAATGAATGTCTAGCTATATGCAGCAAAGCTAGGACATGAATGTGCTTAATATTAGGTGGAGCAAAGTTACTTGATAAATTGGCTAATAAATTAGGACATTTATACACCATTCGATCAAAGTTAAAGAAGTTAATGCTATGCCCAAACAATACACCATTCAATAATTATTTTAGCCAGGTCTGTGGTAGTAAATTCAAACATTAGCAGTGCACGGTAATGTCAATGCATTGTACTGAATAATTCCACATGTACGTACATACAGTACATGTCCAATTCATATACAGTAACATTGTAGTTCAATTCACTGCAATTCGACATAGCAGTTAAAACGTGTTGAACAAATAATTTACACCTCTTGATATCGTCAGGTTGCACCTTTCAGGTCTCTTCCCCAGGTACAGTACCTCATGTGTGGAGCAAAATGTGCTCCATGTGCCTGAATACAATCACATGGATGAATGTATTTTAGAGCCTCCAACTTATAATCCAAGCAACACTCGAGACCAACCGTGTGTAACGGTCGGGCCCTTGAACCCAATTGTTCAATTGTTGTACAGGCAAACATTTCAAGACGCTGTACAAGCCTCTGCTTGTAGAGGCAGGATCAGCATGTATACCGATAATAAATCACAATGCAGCAGGAAAGTGTCCTGCTTTTATAGGATTTAGCAACAATTATCCCCTCTCACGGGGACAGCGTCGATGGCACAGTGGTTGGCGTGCTGCGTTACGAACCCAGTGACCAGAATTAGATTTCTGGTCACAGGTAACATCAGTAGAGAATTATCCGAACGGGTCCTACACCAACCTTCACTGACCAGCATGGCGAGGTATGGTAAAACAAATATACCATTTTCTGACGTGGCAGGTGGAGGCCTTCATCAACCAGTGGATTAATTTAGGACATTAATAATAATGCCCTGTCACTCAGCTGTTTGCAGCCCGACTATAAAAGAAACATTTTGAGAAGGCTTGCAGTTTGCTCCAAAACCCATCAAATATGATGTACTAACATAAGGGTGAATGCTTTTCGGTACAAGCTACATTTAGGTTAAAATGAGGTCATTGGTGTCATTCAGGAAAGTGCTGTGACCATAAACAGCAACTGATCAAAGTGTATTTGGTAGAGCGAACAATTGAGTAATTGGTCATTCCAGACAGGCCTACATGCTTAGCCAGGTTTTCCTTAGTCAGCACAGACTGAATGAATGACCTCAGAGACAGCCAATATACCATGATGCCGGTGGCTCAATACTGCTTTGCTCGTGTGCTTGATAAAAACAAAGCTCTCAATCCCAAACGAGACGGATTACAACGCAACCACGGTTATGTTGTGCGCGAGTAATCGCGGTTTAAATATATATAGTTCAGGTTTAAAAAAGAAAAATAATGACAAGGATAACAAAATGTTGTAAATTTAGGCTCGCTCTTTTTTTTTCCCCCCAACAAAGATTTTGGGCCAATTTAGATTGAAGCTTTTTTTTTTATTTGTGCAAGACAACAGCTTGTATTAGCTACTCTGAATATCTCAAAATCTCTCCCATCCACATGTACACAGATTCATCTTGTAATGGATGAGCTGAATATTGTTTATGTTATCGCTTCTATTTCTCATGTTAATAATAACATTGTGTTAGTCTAAAGCAAGCTGTGACAAAAGATCTAAGCCGATAATGATAATGTGCTAATAACCACACGTTTGACACGCTGCTGGTAAGCCAGGCATGAACATGCTTTCATTGTTTTAATAAAACAGAAATTACAGTATGCATGTTGATGCTGTGAGAAGATTCCAGAAAGTTTTAATTGAGGAAATGGCTACACATTTTAATGGTTAAACTTGGGGATGTGTTTAGAAATTCTAAGTGCCAAATAATTTTTTACCCAAGACATCTTTATATTACTGTCCAAAAAACGTGAAAGAAAGGATTAAATTACCAACTTTGCTGCTAACATATATTGCTAACGACGCTAATGTCTGCGACAGATGCTGTTTGAATTGCGGCGAAAAATAAATAAAAACACTGCATGACTAAAAAATTACATTGTGTAAAGAGCAGCATCTTTCTTTGTTACATTTAATTAATCAACGAGAGCAAACATTAGCTCAAAATTGGCGGCAGTGAAATCGATTTTTGTCACCACAATATATGGGTAATATTGGCACAAACGTGCCGACATGTACTGCAATTGTACTTGAGGAATATATGTTGAATGAAAGCCACACATGACAATGAAATTACCTGAGTGGCACACCCTAATCATAAACATATATAATAGTTTTTTTTGGGTTAAAAACATACATTTCTATGTTAATTTAATTTGTGGAAAACACTAACCCCGATATTTTAGGCTTTTTATTCTGAAACTTAAAAAGCTCTCTCTGGAGCCCACTCAACTTGAGTAATGTTTCCTATAAATCCTAGTTCTCTCCGTTTATGCACATTCATGTAAATTACCAATTCACTTTGCCGTCACATTTGCATTGTTTTTATTTGATGTACTTACATACCATGGGATTATACTCGTGTCCCTTGCCATGCTACTTTATCAAGAGCAGTGCATTATTAGCCAATGTCACGGACGAATTTGGCAAGAACGTCTGCAATGTCTAAACTTCCCAACAGCTAATGTGTAAACAACTGCATTGCATCTTGACTTAAAGCTTTCGTGACTGCAGAAATTCATATTCTTTGGGTCTTTCGGTAAAGGTCACGTAGATAGGTTCAAAGAAAATAACAAAATAACAACTACGACGTTTCGATCGCAAGCAGTCGTCAACCCTTTTCCTGATGATGACGAAACGTCGTAGTTTTGTTATTTTATTATTCTCTTTGAACCTATCTACGTGACTTTACCACAATACCCAAAGAATATGAACTTCATTGCAAACAAGCTGCATGTGGTTAAATATTCTCATTTAAACAGCAATTAAATTCTGCCAGTTTTCAGCAGCGTTTTGCTTTAAACAGCGAATTCAAAAGAAAATGTTAACAAGTATAAAGCACATACTTATACCCGAAATATTTTGGATGTAGAAATAATTATTTAAAATTGATGCACTACTACACTTTTATGTATGCAGATTTTATGTTTGTTTACTGCAATTGAAATATATTCACATTTTTCTCCTGAAAGTGGCATTTTATTCGTTTTGGAAGGGCAACAGTTTCCATGTTATAAATCATTCTGAACAGCTACGTAGAGCAAATATTAGAACGTGTATATATGTGCACGCCTTTACGATATTCATTTACAACGAAAAACATTTTTGATACAACCCTTCATACATGTACTCCCATTACACTTTCAACAAGATTACATGCTACATTTTGAGCCACTGTTAATTTTGAACATGTTCTTAGCCTCCTGATATTTGTTCTCTGCATTATCTGCTCTACCTACACAAAGGCAATTACAATCACACGTTCCATTATGTAATGGTGTAACCCGAAGTTATTTGCACAATACTAAAATGCTTGAATGAACTGCTTTTCTAGGAAAGGCTTGCGTCAAAAATAGATATTTTATGTATGAGTCTGTGCCACCACATTGTTACATGGCTAGAATTCACATACAAGCTGAAATTGATCTAAACACGCTTGCAAGTTAAATGCAATGCAAATGTGTGGCATTTAAAACCCTCTTGCGGGTAGAAAAACAATCAATTATTTGAAACTGCAACAGCTAATACCTATAAACCTTGTCAAAAAACGGGACAATCACAGTACTGTATTTCATTTTATTCCGTTTTGGAGAAATGTAATCAGGATCAAATTAATTACTGCATTATAATACGAAACAATTTAATGAGGGTAGTTTTAGATTAGTGATTCCTACCATTTCTCTAAAGGGTTATCCTGGGGAAGGTATTCAGAAAATGAAAAAAGTCTTAGAAAAATCTGGCAACACCATGCAGCTCTAAAAAAAAATATTGTGCTTAATTATTGATATCCCTGTAGGATAGTGTTAGGAAGTTGAGGCTTGATTTGAACTTGCAAACCTTGGAACCATTTATTTTTTATTTTCCAACACTCAACATTATTATACAAATAGTGCACACTTTAAATACAGTAAAAGGGAAACAATGCAGCACTGTAGAAATCTAAAGGCTACCGGTACTGTCACTTCAAACTGTGGTTTGATTTTATAATTAGGGCTTCTATGGTTTTCCCAAGAGGTTTGTGCTGCTACGGTAAAAATAGGACAAGGAGGGCATGCTGCATTAGCCCCTTTCTGGTTCGCCGGTATATTTCACCGTGAGAAGAAAAAAGGGTTTAATAGCTGCAGTGTCTGTAATGAGTGCATTACAGTATCCCGAGGGCTGAATTGAATAGCAGGGAGTCCTGAACCATTTGACCCGGTGGAAAAACTGCAGCGCTGACAGGATTTGCTGGTTGAAAAAGGTGAGAAAGGACAGGATTCTTTAAAATTAATATGGTTTATTTGCTGTGAAAAGCCAACACTATTTAGCCTTTAAAAAGATAAATCAAATACCTCAATACCTACCTGTCTTTCCTCAGGTCTATTCAAAAGTACAAGTTGGCTCATGTTCTCAACCCACAAGCTTGTTCAGTACATGTGATATGCAAATAATAAAGTTTAAGATTCTCCATGCACATCTACTGATTAACTGCGTGTAATTATCAATCCACACCGAGATGTACTGTAATTGATAGACCTACAAAGCTGGAGCATTGCCGATGACGAACATGTAATGTTTACATTTTACAGTGGAACAGTAATGATGTTTGGTTGAAATTTTTATTATTTTACATTGTCTAATGTAAGACACATAAATAAGTAACCAGATAGTGGATACAAGTTTTATCTGGTTGAACTGAAATTAGTCTCAACATAGCACCATAAGGAAAACACTGGAAACTTTAAGACCTAGTTTGTCCTTCCACTTTTAGAAGTCATGTGATATTTACATTTTAAATGTGCAATAATTTCCCAAAACTGTATTGTAACACCAGGAGGTGGGATGGGTAGTGTGATAGGCATTGGCACTGCATCACAAACACAGCAACCCGAATTTCATTCCGGGCCATGGCTAACAGTGGTGGCAAATGAGATCTGAACCAGTCTGAGTGACCCCCATCAGCCACCCACACTGACCAGCAGGGTCAAATATGGTAACAAAAAATTAACCCGTAAAAACAAAGTTTTTCACTATAAATCCTTTATATGCGTGGCGGCTAGAGTCCTCTCGTCCTCTGGCTTGAGATGGCTGCCACCTATGGGTCAGATGATTGCCTGCCACCATTAAGCAATTGGTAATTAAATATAATTTATTTTTTCCTAAAAAGTGTAAAATTTTGGAAAAAAATTTCACGAAAATAAATTGTCACACACAACGAGTCTGTGTGCAAAATGTCAGCTCGATTGGATCACGGGAAGTGGGTTAAAAAACGACCGAAAGATTTGCACGGTCGTAAGTGCGCAAGCAAGCAAGCAAGCGAACTTAATATAAAGGATTTAAAAAGAACCCATGACCAACACGAAGTAGAGATGCCTTCACCCAATACTGGACTGTTATCATGATGTTCTATTTCGATTTATAGCTTTCGTGACTGCAAGGATTAATCTTCTTGGTTCTTTCGGTAAAGTCACGTGGAAGGGAAATTTAAAAATAATAAAAATAAAACGTAAAAAAATATTTGTTATTATTTCCCTTCTACGTGACTTTACCAAAAGAACCAAGAAGATGATTATCTATTTCAACAGAGCTTCACGATACCATTCATAAGATCCTCATGAACAGACAACTGTACTCCAATGTCACCGTTCCTGCTACAATAGGGTTGACAAATGGGACGATTACTGATATCGAAAGAACAACATGCAAATGAGATCGGGGAGTTGAATATAATGAGCTTTTCCCCATACATCTTCAGTAAAATGAGGTTGCATAAAGTAATGAAACTGGTGAATGCTTGTCACAACTAATGCTTCACATTTAATAGTATCCCTGTGGGGGCTTACATACAGGTCAACCGATTTTAGGACACATACTATCTGTGCTCATGAGAAATATATCAATAACCTAAGTGCAGCTCACAAAATTTTTTTTCACACAGCGTGATAGATGGTCACACGTTTATGTAAACATATTAACCCACAAAATGATCAACTCGTGCATAACATTTTAAACGCGAAAGAATATGAAACGGCAAATATCTGTGTTAAAAGGAATCGAATAAACCGCACGCGGCTAGTACAGTGTGACGGATTGTTGCATGCTTGCATGATTAACTAATCAACAAAATGATAATTTTCACCTTGAGGGTAAAATTTAAACAATTAAATATCAAAACCAAATGATGTTAAACATAATTAAAACCCATATATTTACACGGCTTCATATACTGTATACATCTTAAACCTGCGATGCAGAAATTTTTTCGAGAACGTCTACTGCTTGGAAAAATAATTTTAGAGAGTATAGGGAAATTGGTCTATCAATATTTAATTTTTTTATTATGATAAAATCAGTTCCTGCAACAACACATTTGCAAGCTGCTCGGAGCTGTGGCATATGGACAAAAGGGTTATATGAATATACATATTTTAGTTGCCTCCTTTCACATGGTAGCCGAATGTGATTGCACTCATAAACTAAAATAAGCACTTTGCATATACAAAACATGATATCCCATTGCACTGGAGGTTATTATAGAGAAGAAAATCACATTCGACCTACCCTGCGATCCCTGAAGCCAACCTTCTGTTTTTTCTTCTTGCAATCTTCTTTTTGCTCTCCATCGCTTGATTCGCTCTCTTGGTCCGAAGTCTCCATCGCTTCATTTTTCTCAGTTTTTTCCTTCACAGAACCCTCGGCCTCAACACGCACACTGAACCATGCACAGCAAGAGGGCAACAACCACAATGCTGTATGAATGACCCATCAGTCAAGTTAATAGGTTAAGACGTGGTTTCTCAAATGCCATGTTTTGTATCCCATCATGCTTCAAGATTTCAGTGGAATGTGTAACCACTTAAAGTCTATTTTGAATGGAAGAACATTGGTGAATATGGACAGGTTGATTGCAGGGGGGGGGGGGGGGGATGCAAGACTGAAATTTGACGATTCCCTGGCCTACTTTATTTCCCCAGGACTAAGGGGGGGGGGGTATCGTCACACTCTCCAGAATTTTTTCAATGTTCCAGTGTGATTTGATAAATGACAAGTAAAAACAGCATGGCTCCGTGTACTGTATTTCCTTTTTCGGTGCACCCTGCTTAGTTTTTTTTGGCACTATGCCCTTTGTTTTCATCTCCACGTGTGAATAATGGGAGGAACTCCCAACCGTACCAAGCGCCCTTTTGTGTGCCATCTATCCTGCATTTGTTTTTTCCCTGCAAGAAACACAATTTTATATAAACTAGAGGATACAGCTGGTGGCAACCCATTCGACCTCTCCTGTAATGCAACAAAAAATGACAACATGGAACATTTAAAAATGTTGCACGACAGAACTGTTATTTCCAAATATTTGGTGAAGAATCTGTGTCATACTTATTTTCGGTAGGTATTAACTAAATCAATACCAACAAGGTTGAGATGATTATGTGAGTGATTAAAATTCTGCTTCACAACACGATTGCATTACATTATCTGCAGGAGAGACTAAATGACACAAAACCATTGATGTACAAAAGTTATACTGGTAGGAACCCACTGGGTGGGGGGGGGGAGGGGTGGAACTGTGTTGGGAGGGGCTGGTCACCCCGTGGTGCCCTTATAAAACTCAACGTTTAACCTACTCACGCCGGCTTGTGCCCGCCCTCAGTCGGGCATATTTGCGGAATACACCACGCCGCCGTTGACCCTGGCCATTGACCGAGCAACCCAACGTTCCTACCAGCTCCCTCCGCAGGAATGTGTTTGTTATGTTTGACCATTCAACCGAATAGCAAACAACGTATGTATAGAGCAGATCTATAACTATTTACCCTCCCGGCAAATCGTATCGCAATCAGATTCAAGAGATGACTTTGTAACTGCCACTAGCGGCTGCAGAGGTCATGCAATCTATTACACTCAACATATTAAAATATAATTTCGGATTCTTACACATGGGATTGATGCATGTAACATGAGCTTACGAATCGATAGGTACATCTTTATAGCTCTAATATGCAGTAGAAGCTGGACATAAGCACATCTACTATAAGCACAGTTCTGGTATAAGTGTAAAGTAGTCACTTGGCGGGAGACGACTTTGACGGGTAGCACACCTTTTTATTAACACCAAACTGTTACACGGGTGGCAACTGCCACATAACCCACGAGGTTCCCCTGAGCTATACCCACACGGGCTCTCACGCCCCGTAGCTTCTTGGAACACACCCGGCTGGGTTATTAGTCTCGACTCTGGGCCCACAACCTGGTTCCACACGGACACCAGGCCCCGGGTCCCACAGCCTCTGAGCCGCACAGGGTCCCGGCCCTTACAAGGACAGCGGGGCTAGGGGTCTCAGGGCCCTATCTCTTCAACTCCGTCTTCGATCTTCAGCTGGTAATAACTCTCCGAGTGCTCTCGCGCGTCCCCCTTTATAGTCCTCCATGCGGACGTCGCTGAAAGCACCCACCCAAGTTGACCAATCACCCAGCGCTCTCTCTACGATCCTCTTTCCCATATCGTGTCTGCGTGCACAACCACGCACCCAGCGCCGCCCCGTGATCCATCACTGTCAGTGTGCGTCAACACCCCCCACACTCGATGTAGCCACGCCCGGCGCGCGCACACCCACGCCCCCACCTTGTCGGCGCGCACCGCCACTACATAAGCAACACATGCTTACTCTTTGGTTCTTTCGGTAAAGTCACGTAGGTACAAAATAAATTAAATCGCAATGTTTCGGGCGCAACACAAGTGCCCCTCATCAGATGGAAACAACCACGGCAATAAACAATTGCTGAAGTGGGAAAAAGGAGGCTGCTTGTGACACGAGGCTATATATACGTAAGAGGGGGGGAGGAGCCAGAGAGGAGAGAGAGAGAGGGTGGAAGTGTGGGGTAGGGGGAGTGGCGAAGTGCAAGCTGCAACCCGAGCACGACAAAATGTCGGGTTTGGGAAGTGAGCGGGGCTGGAGGGTAGGAGGCTGAAGAAACTGGAGATGCGGATACGAAGGCAAACTCTAAAGCAGTTAAGGTTTTACCTGGTTAATAACATCCTTCCAATGATTTCTCAATTTGTATCCATCTTCTCGGTTGAAGTTATGTCTATGTTTATATATCTGGATGGCTTCATGAACAAACCTTTGATAGTAGCCCGAAGGTGTGCAGAGCACCTTGGTCTCAGAAAAAACAATATAATGAGAGCCCACAGCGTTATAACAATGGTCAGCCACGGCGGAGGTATTAATCCTGCCGTGTTTCAGATCTCACTTGTGCTCGCGAACACGAGCACAAGGCAGACCATTGTTATAACGCTGTGGGCTCTCATGATATTGTTTTTTTCCCGAGACCAAGGTGCTCTGCAAACCTTCGGGTTACTATCAAAGGTTTGTTCATGAAGCCATCCAGATATATAAACATAACTTCAACCGAGAAGATGGATACAAATTGAGCAATTATTGGAAGGATGTTATTAACCAGGTAAAACCTTAACTTGCACTTCGCCACTCCCCCTACCCCACACCCCCACCCTCTCTCTCTCTCTCCTCCCTGGCTCCTCCCCCCCTCTTACGTATATATAGCCTCGTGTCACAAGCAGCCTCCTTTTGCCCACTTCAGCAATTGTTTATTGCTGTGGTTGTTTCCACCTGATGATGGGCACTTGTGTTTGCGCCCGACACGTCGTGATTTAATTTATTTTGTACCTACGTGACTTTACCGAAAGAACCAAAGAGTATGGATCCCTGCAGTCACGAAAACTTTAAATCTAGATGTAACACATGCTTACATTACACTGGTGGCAGGAAAGCCAAGGGAAACTTCTGATAAAGCACACTTCACAGTTAAAGCGTACCCGGCCTTGTTCCCAAGGGGTGTCATTATATCCAGCATCCGCTGTATCGCCCAAATATATGGGGTCTTAAACAACAATTCACGGAATGTTCTGAAAATCTAACAGTTAAAAGTTTTTTTTTTCTTAAGGTCAAGAGGAGCTTCATTTATATACTCCATCCTTATGCGCTGCAATTAAAATACGCCAAGGTGATGACAACACACTCGGCAAGAATGGAAATGCTGTGGTGGGTGGGGCTCAGCTGAGCCATCGAGATGTATAAATTGACACAAGCCTGGTGCCCGCCCGACCGCCCGCCCTATTACTCCTTGAATATGAATTAAACGTGAACGCTCTGTCTCTATTAAACATTAAGTTACAACTATGAAAGTTGAGAGGACACGAGTATTAACAAGTTGAAAATGAGGCTTAATGAGACCTAGTTGAGATAAAGTTTGACTTAATGCCTTATTCACGAAGCAGTCTTGTCATCGTGAACAGCACTGACAGTGTTCTATCTGCTGCTGGATGAAGGCCTCCTCACACCATCTACATCCGTCAGGTCCTGGAATGCCACAATCCATCGGATTCATCACTCCACCTCTGCGTCCAACACTGTAGCCTTCTTCATCATGTTCTCCTAACATGCTTAATTTTGTCTCCATTTATATTCATGCCTTTGTTTCCCAAAAACAATTGAGGTAAAACAGCTTGTGTTATTTTGAATAACTTTTACTAAAGCACATTTCCTTGTTTGACTCCCTTTCTCACAAGAATTCTGCTAATTTCTTCATGTCATCTGCATACAGCCATTCCATTTTTCATAAATTGCTGCATTATATAAAAACACATTTGATTTTTTACTTGGTTTGTGAGAGCTTGGTTGACCGCATTAGTTTTCACTCATTGTAATGCATTTCCATAGCCTATAAAGCTCAAATGGTAAAGAAACCCCTCCTACAAATATTTAAGATGGTCTTTTTAAATGCAGGACACCTTGATGCATCATTCCATAAATGTGGTTTAATCTAATTTAACATTTAGGAAAGAAGTCCAATAGTTTTGCTCCAACGTGTCCTGTTTCTTTGGTAATGTTCACAGTTGTATTATCTGGTCCAGGAGCTTTCCTTGTTTTAATGCTCTAAAGGGTAGTTTACTTCGAATGTGATATCTAGAACTTCCATATCCAGTTTGATTCCTGTTTTTTTTGCTATCTCAATGTGCAAAAATTTACTCCACGAATTTTAAGATTCTATGCTGATCATGTGTTATCCAAATGTATCCCTAAGTGCTATTATTATTAGATTTCAAATCAACCTTCTTTTACTGCTTTCATGTTCCAACGGTTTGCTATGATCTTTAATAATTTCTGTGTTACATTCTCCAATTTCTCTTCTCATTCTTTCCAAAATCATATTACAAAGTTCTGTATATTCCTTCTTTTGTTAAGCATATCCAGCTTGCATATTTTTTCCTTAGAATATATTGTGGCTTCAGATAATTATTTTGTTTTGCGTTTAACACTTCCTCTCACTTTCAATGCATTATCCATTGCTGTACTAATTCTATAATTAAAGTATTGACGTTAATTTAAATGATTTTGACTCTCGGTATTTGAATGTACTGCTTAGTTAATCTGAAATTGTGTTTTTAAAATTTGAATTCTCTCGTTTTTGACTGTACAGCAATTAGCTTTGTCCCCTCATGGGTTATGTTGAAATGCCACCTTGCATCACACCAGCCTGTGATCCCTTTGTGGATGCGATATAAATCCAAGTTGTGTTGTATCAGGTCGAGTTGACCAATTACACTGGTCTACAATTTTTTAGACGTCTGCCGCAGAGATGAAATGTGCCGTTTATTATGGATTTTGATGTGCTGAATTCAAATATACTGTTCCCAAGATATTTAAGTTTTTACATCTTATGTCTATTTATCATGTACATAGTCGAGTTTCTCATAAATTGTAATCCTAGGTTTTTCATGTGTTTATGGTTGCTTTACATGATAACATGTCACTTGTCCTGTTCATGCAACACTTTAAAGATCAGCAAAAGGGTTATATAAAATGTATTATGAAAAAAACTATAATGTATAGGAGTACATAGTTTAGTCCTTATTCAGTGTCTACTCGGTGCTTCTTGGCTTGTCTCTTGTATTAATTAAATAGAGCATCTCTTGTCACTGTCCAGCAATAGTCTGCAAGTATTTATGGGCTCCATTTCCCCTGATACTGTTTCCCCATTGTTGCAATCTCCTGGTGACATCGCTCGCCATGCTCGTCGCTCACTGCTCCGCAGTTCGGTGGGAAAAAATCTAGATGAGTGGGAATTTTTTTTATTTAGTGACATCTTGCAACCAAGGCTTTTGTATGCCTTGAGGTTTTCCACCAATTCCCTGTAGTTGTCCGCCTTGTTGTTTCCGAGAAAATGTGTTGCCGCTTACTGGAAGGCTTTCATGCCACCTTTTCCTTGCCACGCAGTGCACTGTCATATGCATCATCTCGAAGAAGTTGACGAATCTGAGGAGCAACAAAGACACCTTCCTCTATCTTAGCTTCACTTAACCTTGCAAATTTTCCAAGGAGGTACTTGAAAGCTGCTTGTGTTTTGTCCATGGCTTTGACAAAGTTCTTCATCAGACCCAGCTTGATGTGTAAAGGGTGGTAACATTTTCCTTGATTCAACAAGTGGTGGATGCGAAACACGTTTCCTCCCAGGCTCCAATGACTGTCGGAGTGGCCAAACTATCTTGATGTAGTGGGAATCTCTCGCACGACTATCCCATTCGTCGAGAAAACACCGGTACTGTGTACCCAGTCTGCAGACCAAGCAAGAGAGCAACAACCTTCAAATCGCCATTAAAGCTGCCACTGATGTTGGTCATAGTTCATGCATTTCAAAAGTTGTTTCATGTTGTCATAGGTTTCCTTAATATGGACTGCTTGACCAAATGGAATTGATGGCAAAACATTGCCATTATGCAGCAATAGAGCTTTAAGACTTATCTTCGATGAATCAATGAACAGTCTCCACTCATTTGGATCATAAACGATGTTGAGGGCTGCCATCACACCATCAATGTTGTTGCAGGCTACAACATCATCTTCCATGAAGAAGAATGGGACAAGATCCTTTTGACGGTCACGGAACATGGAAACCCGAACATCACCTGCCAGGAAATTCCACTGCTGCAGCCTGGAGCCCAACAGCTCTGCCTTACTCTTGGGTAGTTCCACATCCCTGACAAGGTATTTCAGTTCACCTTGTGTTATGAGGTGTGGTTCAGAGGATGGGAGAAAATCTGGGTCATGTGACCTTGATGATTCAGGACCAGAAGTTTCATCATCTTCCTCAAGTGAGCCTGGTGCATCAGGAACCGTCAGTCCTTCTCCGTGGGGTACTGGGCGTATAGCTGATGGAATGTTTGGATAATGCACTTTTTCTTCTTTGACATACCTTTCCCAACTGCAGGCACCATGCAGAAGTAGCAATTGCTGATATGATCTGTTGGCTCTCTACACATCATTGCACTGCAAAAGGCATACATTTCCTTTTCCTGCTCAACCACTGGCGATGATTTGTTGCATAAGTGTTAGAGCATGTGTGGGGACCACATTTTGTCCTGATCTCCAATTTTGCAGCCAAAATAAAGGTGATAGGCTTTCTTAACCAGTGGTTATACTGCACTTTTGTGATGCAAAAGTCACTTCACCGCAAACACAGCAGAAGTTATCTGCTTTGTGCACACAAAGTACAAGGCATCTCTGCTCACTTTGGCTAAACATAAATGTGCCCCTTTGCAAAATCAAACACTGACAAATAAGAGAGCACGACACTGTATAATTTCTAGAGCTGATATAGTGCTATTTGTTCAGCAGAGGGATGTAAGCTTAGTTATGATTGCATCATCCATGACTTCTAGGAATAACATGATGCAATTCATATAATGTATAGTTCAGATTGCATCATTCATTGTTTTGCTCAAAAAGCAAGTACTCTCCAAACCCCGTCATATATGTATTCATAGATCCAGTCAAAAATCTATTTGTCATTTCTGGTTTAAATTGAGATCCCTTCCCTTTATAACGCACTTATACTCTGCCATTCCCAAGTCAAGGGTCGTAGAAACTGACCCAGAAGCATATCTTGAAAACTAGAGCCAATCAACAATTTTAAGCATCATTTTCATTCTCAGTGATGCAGAACTAGTAAAGTTGGACGACATTTATTTCAGAAGCATTTTGGCTGTAGACCAGTGTTATGGGAGGTATGGGTTTCTTAGACAAAGAAGCAATACAAAGTATTGTGTTTATATCATACACGTCTTATAAAGACCAAGTTAAATTGGTTAACTGTATTTGAATCCAATCTCCAGAATGTTTTAATCACATACCTACCAATGGAATCTCTTATAGATATTAAGGATTGTTAAAAGAATAACACCCTCTTGTGTAAAAAATATTTGGTTTTAATGGACTGCAGCAGACCCCAGTATGTGTAATAATTCATAAGGATTGACTATTGGGCTCATCATGTTTCTAGAATGCCAGGTAGGACGATCCCGGGTGTCACATTACATGGCAAACCGAAGGAAAAAAAACAAAGGAGAAAAGAACAGGGTTGTTGTGTTGGGAGTGCCAGGCAAGTGGGAATCATTCAACAGCTCTGCAAGAAAACAGAATAAGCCTCTGGCTGCACACAACCCAGAATGTGCAAATGGTGCATTAAATATATTTCCAGGATACAGTAAAGTTAATTTAGTTTTGTCTAACAGTGCTCAACAACTATCTTTGACAAGAGGCAATTCCTTAGTATTTTCTGACATGAATTTAACTCCCGAGACAACACTATGAATATATATAAAAACAACAATATATATTTCATATGCATGGTTTACACACAAGCTCACTACAGGGTCATTTAATAAGCAACATGCCACTTATAAGATATGTCACGAAGTATATCACAGTGGCCCTGTTGACAGTGTGTACTCGTTTTCACAATGGACTGCTTTGAAAATGCATTTCAAAACACACAAAGCGCACACACACATCCACTACATAGCAGTTATTTTCAAGTCTACGGTAATTAAACATTTGCGATGAAGGCGTGCTGGTGTTGTCCAAAATGGCATATACATGATAGTTAAAATTTAACAATCCCATATTGTTATTCTTAGGTTAGCTAGTGTAATCATGTCAAGTTCAATCGATTCATTGATTAAAATAAATTATTGTGCTCACGATACGTGTATGAAATCATTCCTGTATCAAATCATTCTCAAATTCAATTCAAGGACATGTTAATTATATAAGTGCTATGCAGGATCAAACCACCAAAGCTTCCGATATCTGATGAGATCAGGCACTTTGTAGGAAATTTGGCCATTGCCTGAAATTTGGTGCAGTGTTCCAACCTTGACAACAACAAAAAAACACACGAACATAACAGCTTACTGCTTCCATATGAGGGCAGTGGACAGTGAAGCAGCTGTAGCTCCAAGCGTCGCAGCAACCAATATCCTGCGCACATGAGGCTGCCCCTCCTGCATGCTGTGCTGGCACGTGTAACCACGTATAGCACATGGCAGGACCCGCAAGGCATGGTACACACGGAGCCTCCACATCGCCATCACCTTGGGAGAGACACAAATTACACGGCAGATGTCTATTGTTAATTCAAGTGACCTCTAGTTGGCCCAGCCAGATGTTGCAATGCTTTCAAAAGATACAGGGTAAAGGCGCAAACCCGTCATTATTTCCCCCTCGCCACACAAAACAGGAGGACCTCCACTCGAGCGGGCTCCTGAAGAGCCTTCATGGAGGGCATTAGGCTTACCCTTCCACACTGGCCAGACGTCTTGGAAGAGGTGGGAATACCCACACTTAACCTTCCCACACATTACTTCCCAATAGATTCAGCTATGGTGTACCCATTTATATTGCTTAGTGGACTGAGGGGGGGTGGGGGTTTAAGTAATGTGCCCATTGTTTCGATGGCCGTGCCGAGAGATTGAATTGAACCTGCGACTTCTGGATTGCAAGTATAGTCTTCTAACCATTACACCAAAGCTGTATCTTCTCCTTTCATATATAAAATTTAAAAAATCTACTCCATACTGACCAATTAACCACACATATGTAGTATTTGTGCGTAGTGTAACTGTAATTTTATACAGAAGTTCACATATCGGACTATTTTACATATCCCCAAATGAGTTGTATGTGCGACATGGTACAGTATTGTACAAATAACTTTCGACTAATGCCCCATGACTCCAGCTCAATAAAGAACAACACATTAGAAGCCAGAGCAAGCCCATAGCAACGGTTTTAAAAACAGTGTATTATGTTATGCCACAGCATATGGCAAACAACAGTTGCAAATACCTCCACAACTTTAAAAAAAATTGTTTAGAAATTTAGTGTTATGCATTTGCTTGTGTATGTGGTCTTGTAATTTGCAGAGCTGGACAATTCCCAGAAGGTACCCCCAATTTCATGATCTAGTGAGGTGTTGAAGTGAGCATTGACAAGGACGTAACCATAGACACAGATTCCCTGTAGAAGTGAGTGTGCAGCCACTGGCTGTAAATACGTGTTGGTCATCACGATAGCTTGGCACTTGCTCTAAATGAAGTTTATCATGTTATAGTAATTATTACACTATTGCCTATGCCTCCCCATCATCCGCCTGTGTTTACAGATAAGTTTTCCGATTCAAAATATAAATACCGTAATAGCCTTTGTCCACCCCGGAAACATTAACGGAGTATTGGGATGTTTGGCCAATTCCATTAGTGAGTGTTTGGCATAAGGGGAGAAACAAACAATGCTCAATACTGATAAATTCCAGAATATATCGCTCTCCTGTCCGCGTCTAGACACTACACGATCCAAACTACAAAGTCCAGCATTCCCAGGCAGTCTCTCATCCAGTACAAGGTTCAACCCTGCTTACCTTCCAAAATCAGACAATATTTTGCACATTCAAGGCGACTAGTCATACACACATCTATTCATTCGGAAAAAAATAATGTAGTAATAGATTACCACCCCAAGTCAATCAACCGCTGGATAAAGGCCACCCCAGGCACGTTGGTCAGTATGGGTCGGCAAAATTCTAGAATTACATTTTTGAAAATCCAGATGTAAAACACCAAAGGTGTCTTGATATCAGCACAAATGTCTAACATTGTATTGTACTGTATTTACAAAAGAAATACCAACTGCCCTGCTGTATTTAGACACTTTTGTGAGATAGAACCTGCAATCTCACAATATACTATTACACTAAACGAATTGACAATTAATGTACACTTAACGTTTACCAGCTCAACAGAGTTCAAGCCAGCACTAATCTACTAAAATTGTGTTGTGCGTGCCTGTCCTATAAGTACTCTCCTGGCAATCATGCATCATTTATTTAATAATGCAGTCCTTTATTTGACCACATGATAGCCTAAGAATACATACGTAGTGACTGCCTCAGAGACACGAGGAGTAGGAGGCACTCTATTTAGTAACAGCCTTCACAGTTCACAAGAGTGAACTACAGCTCCCAGTCAGGACAGCTGGAAGACTGCCTGACTGACGACGCCAAGAAGGTGAAGACGTTGACGAAGACTCCAGCAGCACAACGGGATCCCACTCCAGGCAACAGCCCCGAACCTTCGCTCGGCGTCCCCTTTTATCCTCCCAGCGTGGCCTCGCTCCGCCCCAGTCACACCCCCCCCTTAGAACCTACCAGCGGGTTCCCGGGCTTCCCTCACGTGCCCCCTCTGTAACCTTTTCCCTACAACCCTCTCTCTGGCTTATCACGTGACCTGCTGACAGACAGGGCTGCTGCAACTGCAGATCTCCTTCTCTGCCAGCAACCAGCGCTATTGTATGTAGTGACCCATTCCATGTCACTACACATATATATTCTTTAAAGAGGACCTTGAGATATCACCAAACATATCAAGGGAAAAAAGAGACAAAATAAGAATGCATTTTTACAAGAGAATGGAGGCAATAAAACGTTGCATTTTCTAAAATATATAAGATTTAAACAAATGTTGCAAACACATTGAAAATAAACTTTATAAAGGTTACGGCCGTTGTGCAATGGCTTCCAAGCGCCGAGATTGACGAAGGCATACAAATCATCACTGTCGAGGTGCTTAGGACATAACACATCTTTAAACAAAATAAATTGAATTTCAAAACACGTGCGATTGCACGTGTCTAGATGGAGTGGGCCCCACGAGCCCAATTGAACACTGTACCTTACTTGTCAATTTTCCCACAGTAGCCTAGCTTTTAACTGTCAGATCGTCATCAGGCATAATAAACCCACTGCTGGATAAAAGCCTCCTCCAGCCGCCTTCCCCTCTCACGAGTCTGCGATGGCAACATTCCAACCAGAAACCTGCACAATGAACTGATCGAATCACTCCAAGCTTTACAAAACGTCATCATAACAATGCACATCACAGCACTGTGCATTACGTTTGCGAAGTGTTTCAGGTGATAATGGCCATATCAGAACAGTACCAATAGCGTTCAGTTCATGGGGGTTTAAATTCTGGTTTCTGGGTAGCTTGGTTTAATCCAGCAGGGAATGTTAGTTATAAGAGTCCATATAAACACGTTATACTGGTAGGAACCTCCTGGTTAGACCAGCCCACAGGGGATTATTGTGTCCGTCCGTCCGTCGTGCAGGGAGGGGCTGGGTGGGGAGGGTGGGGAGGGGCTGGGTGGGGAGGGGCTGAGTGGGGGCTGGGTGGGGAGGGGCTGCTCACCCCGTGGTGCCCTTATAAAACTCAACGTTTAACCTACTCACGCCGGCTTGTGCCCTTCCTCAGTCGCCCATATTTGAGGAATACACCACGCCGCCGATGACCCTGGCCATTGACCGAGCAACCCAACGTTCCTACCAGCTCCCTCCGCAGGAATGTGTAATCAACATGACATTATAGTTGTATATTGGCCAATAACAGTAGGGTACTGTATAAAATGTATCAACATCAGTAAATACAAATTACACAGCAGGCCAAATTGCCTCTAAGAGGCGCTCTTTAGAGCCCTCGAATCCGAGTCGATGGCGAAAGCCCTTCCTGCGAGCAGTGGCGCGAGCACGCAATTGCAGGGCTGCCCCTTTAACCTACATTCACCATCATCACCACAATCCATGCAGACAGCCCGTGGGGTGGTGGTCCACTGCACATTTTGTCGTTAGGTTTTTTCGGTAAAGTCACGTAGGTAAAAATAAAATAATAATAAAATGATATTATTTGATTTCTATTATTATTTTTATTTTTTATTTTTATTTTTACCTACGTAACTTTACCGAAAAAACCGAAGAGTATAAATCATTGCAGTCACGAAAGCTTCAAATCTATAATTTTGTCATCTTTAGTTTTCACTTTCCTCCGACTTGTGCCAGTCTGCTCAAGTAGCGCGCACATCTTCCTGGCACCAACCTCTTACGTCGTGCGGAGTTTACCTCCCTTACCCGTATAGTAAAGCAGATAGCCCAAAATACGGTACCACTATTGATCCATACTAACGCTTATCATAAGTTGGTGACAAGTTTACTGCTATATATCAACACAGCGAAGCCAAACGGTGTACAGTACAACAGTATAACTGTACGTCACAATGCACCGCTGCATTTGACTTTACGCGCCTGACGAGAACTTTCCCGGCTATTATCGGGCCTTACATGACACACAACACATACACAAAATACACGCGGATACAACGAATCGATTGAGAAGTAATCCACACACCTGATGTGAAACATCGCGGTTTTACTCTTGGGTGCCAAACATCGCGACGCGACTCCCGGAGTAGGGGATGGAAACTAATGCCCGCGACGTAGACTGCTAAAACGAAAGGACGGCAATTGTGTGCGGACACGAGGCATCTTTGAAGTTTGTTTTTAAACAAAACGCTATCGTTAATTCTTACCGTAGCCGACGTGCGGATGGGAGATGCTCCCACTGTAATTCCGTTTGCGTGAGGCGCGCATGCGCAGTTGCGGCTACGCGACGCCACTTGAGCGCACGTGGGTGGGGGCTGCCCCTCCCCCTCACCCGGTGGGGGCTTCCGTTTATTGGGATCCCAAATTCTCAAAAAATGCCAAAAAATTCACATTTTTTTCTGTTGTGATGGAAATTTATTTTCTCTCTCTCGTCATTTACAGATTTGATCGATGGCAGATTCTGCAACAGACCAGTACTCTACAACATAGATGAACAAACAACATGTCTCATTCATATATCTGTCTCGCTACATAAAATAAAAAAAATTACACAACCCATCGGCCCAGCGGCCTTCTGTGAGTGAATAATTTCAGCAGTACTGATCAGTAATGTATAAGCAAACTCTGGACCGGTTTCGACATACCGTGTCTCATCAACAGAGTGCCGTAGAACTGCCAGATGTTATAGGCAATAACCATCTCAGATATCGTCATAGTTTGATGACAATAGGTTAGGTAGTCTATGGGCCAGGTTAATCGTTCTTGGATCAGATAGTCTATGGAACACATAGTAATTGGACATTCTTTGGCAAGATATCCTATGGTAAAAATGGTTCTTGGGAACCACTCGCAAATAATCTATGGCAGTGGTTCCCAATCTGTAGTCCACATACCCGTGTTGGTTTTCAATGCCAAGGGAAGTGCACAGAGAACTGTTGCAGATACATTACTGTACTACAGTTTAGAGTACTGCAGTTTTACTTTTGATCATGTTATTGGTCCATTATGGTCCGTATTCATTTTTTCTAGGATTGATAATGGTAACCTTTATTTTTACTGTCATTGTATCGGTCCAGAAAGGTTGGGAACGACTGGTGTATATGACAGATAATTATTGGGCCAGAATGTCTGTGGACATGGGCCAAATTCCGTTGACCAGTTAATCTTTGGACCAGATGCAATCATAATGCATTATGACTGCAGGTATTGTGGTCTATGCAAACATGACTCCTTGTAAAAAAGGTGTCAGTTTTGTTGCCCAGATAAAAGGGTAAAAAACCAATTATCAAACGTAGGGTTGTCTCTGCTTGTAGAAATACAGTACATTTTTGAAAGTCCATTCGTCTATGCTTTTTTATATTTGAAGACAAACAGCAGTTTGTACTGCAATCACTAAAGTCTTATTTATATATGTATAATCCATAGTTTTCAACAATAGTATCAGTTTATTTTTTATTGATGCTAGGCATGTAAAGATGCATCAGTTTGTCAATTGAATCTCATGCTCACCATGTATTGAATTGTGCACGTGAGAGTGAAATCTGATTGAGGCAAATGTTTTTTCATTGAGAGGCGAATGTTACATTTAGGATAACGGAGTTGAAAATCAACTTACAAGCAAGTAAAATCTCAAATCAATACGAAAATAGTAACACAAAACTTTTATATATAAAAAAGAATCCACCCCAAAAAATGAATTGCTATGTGCTGGCTGGATACTGATCTTAGTCTATGAAACTGAACTTCTGTATGTGGAAGTGATAACCTACCACTCTTTTTCGAAAAGGATGTCAAATCACTTTTATTGGTCACGTATATAAATTGCAACTGTTAAAGTTTTTGTCACAGCAGATGTTATCATCTTGTCTGAGCCCAAGCACTTATTCATCATGATTTAATTCTTATTTCACTCCTCGGTTGGTACTACTGGTTGGTGCCAGTGTAGTGTATTTTTTGTTAAATCTGCATCCGTAAAACCCTAACCTTTGTGTTTCGATGCCCGTTACTCGAACGTACAAGCACTATACCATATTACAATAATGTGGATTAAATAAAGTATGCATTTGTAAATTAAACGACGGTACAGCACTTCACAACGGACTATTGTGTTTAAATAACTGCTGTTTATTTGTGTATTGTACACATTTTGAAAAATCAACCAGATTGACACAAATAATACTCAACCTTAAAAAGCTCAACACCAGAACACACCTAGAGTGCTGTATTGGCACGCTCTTAAGTTGGATGAGGAATGTAAGATGCACAATACACGTATGGTTTATTTTAGATTTTAATTTGAGTACAGTAGCAGTTGTTACAGTACAAAACACAATGCAACATTACATACACGAAACATTTAGATGGGTTATAAAATAATCATGAATAATTAGTGTGACCTAATGTGTAACTCATTCTTATCTGCTGAGTGAGACTGGAGATTCTGTACCCTGGATACGGTGGTGCAGATGTATTGTGACCCCACAATTAATTGACCCCTATTTTTTTTTTAAATAAACCTGACTCTTAATTTTTTTTACGTTTTACATAATTAAATGGGGGTCTACATGACATCTAGACCACCCTGTTCAGCAACAGCTCTGATTAGTGAGCTGAGGAAATGTTCTTGGAACGCATAATTGAGTGAATACAAAGGATCTTAATGGAATAACAACATTATTTTAAATCAGACGTGCTCTCGAGCTAAAGCTGATTAATGTATAATTGTATTGTCATCCAGTTAATTTAAGTATCAAGATTCGTATACAGTACGTATATTTCCAATAGAAATGTGGTACTGTGCAGTAACACAGCAGTTCACAACCGGGGACATCCTGAAAATGTTAGAAACAGTCCTACTTTTTTACAGTCTAGAAATCGTCAATGACAAT